CCACAAGGTATTTACAATCTTCCCCTCCTTTCCATTTAAGACATTTTAAATACAGGATAGAAATGTGTCCCTTAATCTGTTATATCAGATTCCAAATACGTCGCTGCAGTGTATGAAAGATAGACTGCATGCTGCACAGTACTTGAGCTTTCATCTGCCTCCTTTGATAGGGATGGGAATCTAACCTTTCATCCAGAGAATGGACTTACAGAGACTTGGGAAGGCACCTGAACTCTGGACTTGAATGCAAACATTGTCAAAATGGGGAGTGACTGACCAAAGGTAAATAAGGGCTTGGCACAAAGAATTTGCTCAGCACTATTTTAGTTAGGCAAAAACCACATGAAAAACCTGAGAAACCATGTATTGATCATTGACTAGACTGGGGGGGGGGGGGGGGTTAGGGTGAAGAAGAAAATATTATCCTTATAAAGAAATATTATTGGGAAAAAATCCAGCCTCTGAAAATTCATGGAATATGTATAGAATCATAGCATTCAAAGCACCCCCGACAGATGGCCATCCAGCCTCTGTTAAAAAGCTTCCAAAGAAGGATAGAGTTAGGATAGAGGTCCTTCCAACTCTTTGATTCTATGATTCTAGGAGCCTCCACCACACTCCGGGGCAGAGAGTTCCACTGCTGAACAACTCTCACAGTCAGGAAGTTCTTCCTCATGTTCAGATGGAATCTCCTTTCTTGTAGTTTGAAGCCATTGTTCCGTCCTAGTCTCCAGGGAAGCAGAAAACAAGCTTGCTCCCTCCTCCCTGTGACTTCCTCTCACATATATTATACATGGCTATCATGTCTCCTCTCAGCCTTCTCTTCTTCAGGCTAAACATGCCCAGCTCTTTAAGCCGCTTCTCATAGGGCTTGTTCTCCAGACCCTTGATATAAACGAATGCATCTCTGTCTGCCAGGAGTCTAGGCTCTGTGAATTATCATACTGCATGTTCTCTTTTGCACAAATCTATATAAATAGAAATGTAATGTTCATTTGTGGTATAAACATAACTCAGAAACCACTGGACAAATTGAGACAAAATTTTGACACAGTACACCTAACAGTCACCTCACTACCTCTGAGGATGCTTGCCATAGATGCAGGCGAAACATCAGGAGAAAATGCCTCTAGACCATGGCCAAATAGCCCGAAAAAACCTACAACAACCCAGTGATTCCAGCCATGAAAGCCTTCGACAATACAGTCCAATGAGTGTTCATCACCCTTAAAACACACAACCCTCCCCCAGCAGAATGGACTTTAAAAACCCCAAAATACACCATATACACATATACTCATATACATACACACATGTATATATATACACAAGCACACACAAATATATACACATATATACATACACACACATATACATATACACATGTATGCACACATACATACACACATATATACATATACAAGTGCATACAAATATACACACATATATACACAGTCACATATACATATACACATGCATGCACACATATATACACACAAATATGCATATAGATAAGCACACACATATACACAATATACATATATCTATGTAAACACACAAATATATACACACATATATATGTGTTCTGTCGCGCGTTGGGCCTCTAAATAGTTGTCTTTAAAACAGGACGTGCAACCAGGGGCGGCTCAACCCATTACGCAATGTAAGCATTTGCAGTATAGTTGATTTTGCCCAGGGGCGCTCTTGAGGCGCTCTTGGGGGAAAATAGACCTTGACATATGCAAGTTGTAGTTACTGGGATGTATAGTTCACCTACAATCAAAGAGCATTCTGAACTCCACCAATGATGGAATTGAACCAAATATGGCACACAGAACTCCCACGACGAACAGAAAATATATATCAGTGACTGGTTGGGGGGGGGGGGCAAAATACTGTTTGCTTACCATTGAAAATTACCTAGGGCCACTTCTGCGTGCAACCTTTGCCCAACGGGAAGCCAGGGGGCCTGAAGAGAAATTCTCAGAGGTTTCCACCACAAACAGTCTTTAGATGGTTTGAGAAGTACAACAAAGTCTTTTATTAATGAACAATCAAACAGAAACTTCTCTTGTCTTCAGTAAAGTTAAGTAAATGATTCCAAGCTTTTGGGCAATTGGTGAATTCCTAAACTTGCCCACGAAGGACAGGCAACTATCTTCAATAACTTCTTCTTTAAAGGAAAAACCCCTTTTTAACTTCTCCCAGGCTGACTGAAACTTAAATCTAACTGATGTGGGCACCACTACCGGGTTGAACTGCGTCTCAAAGCACCGAGTGGACCTACCAGCAAGGCCTGTAGTCTCTTCAGCTGGAGTTCTTTGATCTTTAGGGCTGTTTCCCTGGAAAGTCTTTGGAGACTCTTTTCCTTCTGTTTCTGTTGGAATTTCTGTAACCCTGGAAATTCTTAAAGGTTGAAGCTTTTGTACAGGGGACGTTTACACACGTCCTGTACATTGGCTAACCTAGCTGAGACTAACTAAAAAATGGCTCCCTTCCCTTCCCAATTGCCCTGAGCAAGGGGCGGGACCAAAACTTAATGATGATGGACAGGTGGCTTGCCCTATAACTGCAACCAAAAGAAGCCACCTATCTGCAGAGTCCCTGAAACCTAGGACTGCAAACAAACATTTAATGTAAAGCAAATGAAATTGGAGCTCGTGGTACAGCTGTACCAGAACAATATGCATACACACAAATGCAAACACACATGTATACACATGTACACAAATATACACACATATATAAACACATTTATACACACACAAAACGCATATATACAGACTGGGCCACAGCAACGGGTGGCAGGGGACGGCTAGTATCTTCTAATTTTCCCAAAACCAAGTCTGTTTATGGCTAGTAGGCCACATATAAGTTGGGGCACCCACAAAAAGGTGTCAGTAGTTTCCAGGAAACAAGGACTGTTTCTTGTGAAAATAGAATAATATGCAATCCATGAAATTATATGTTCTCCTTCGCTATAAGGGAGTGCTTGCCCTTATTTTGCATTAGGCCAGTCTGTTACTACATCTCTCAGTGGTATTGCTATTGCTATTGCTTTGATTTCCGTTTGTCCAACACGAGATGCAATTAAGTAAACAAATGACTAACTGATTTCATAAATTAGAATTGGATTGAAAAGGGCAGTTGAAATGCTTAAACTGAGAAGCTGCTCAAAATATTCCGACATTTATCCTGAAACAGGATTCTAATTTTACCTAACTATGGACACCAAATTTACAAATAAACAAACATAATTTAAAATATAAAAAGAAGGTGGCGGAAATGTTTTGGAAAGTATTAAAATGGAACAAGTAATTCCCAAACCAGCGGGGTGTCTTGCATCTTTGAACAGGATGAATGGGTGGATGGACAGCAATAGGAAAATGTCTCCTGTGACCTTTTAACACTTTTTTGTGGTGTGTGTTCAGCTTTGAGATATATTTATCTCCTTGAAATGCAAACCATAACTAAGAAGATGGACTTGTCTCAAAATTCATCCTATTTTAATTGTGTGTGGGTTTAATTTAAACTGAAGACAGCCAGAGATAGAAGACTAATTTACAATACCAGCAAGACATTTTTTGTGAGCAATTACGAGACCTGCTGCTCTATCTTCAAAAGAGAAAAAGAGATAGTAGAGGAAGGGAAAGAATGGAGATAACAGACTTGTTCTCCTTCTTCAAAATGTTCTCTACCACATAAATCTTGCAGCTAGCTACCCAATGGAAGCCTTCCCTCCTAGTAATGATAGGATTGCTAGGAGGGATTTACAAAAACATGCAAATATGAAAAACACCCAGAGAACAAATATGATATAGTGATGTAGTGTTGGTATAGAACAGAAGCATACGAGAAGCTCGGCCTGTCACTGAACATTGAAAAAACCAAGGTGCTTCCAGCAGACACCAGCCAACCCTTCTCCAATGCCAGTGATACAGCTTAATGGTGTAACATTAGAAAATGTTGATCATTTCCGCTACCTTGGCAGCCACCTCTCCACCAAAGTCAACATCGACACCGAAATACAACACCGCCTGAGCTCTGCAAGTGCAGCATTTTCCAGAATGAAGCAGAGAGTGTTTGAGGACCGGGACATCCGTAGGGAGACCAAGGTGCTTGTCTATAAAGCTATTGTCCTCCCAACCCTGCTGTATGCCTGTGAGACGTGGACTGTCTACAGACGTCACATGCAGCTCCTGGAACGTTTCCATCAGCGCTGCCTCCGGAAAATCCTGCAAATCTCTTGGGAAGACAAGTGGCCAAACGTCAGCATGCTGGAAGAAGCAAAGACCACCAGCATTGAAGCGATGGTCCTCCACCACCAATTCCGCTGGACCGGCCACGTTGTCCGGATGCCCACCACCGTCTCCAAAAGCAGTTGCTCTACTCTGAACTCAAGAATGGAAAACGGAATGTTGGTGGGCAGGAAAAGAGATTTAAAGATGGGCTCAAAGCCAACCTTAAAAACTCTGGCATAGACACTGAGAACTGGGAAGCCCTGGCCCTTGACCGCTCCAGCTGGAGGTCAGTTGTGACCAACAGTGCTGCAGAATTTGAAAAGGCACGAATGGAGGGAGAAAGGGAGAAGCGTGCCAAGAGGAAGGCACGTCAAGCCAACCCCGACCGAGACCGCCTTCCACCTGGAAACCAATGCCCTCACTGCGGAAGAAGATGCAGAGCAAGAATAGGGCTCCACAGCCACATACGGACCCACAAGAACACTGGAAGACAATCATCCTCGGAAAATGAGTGATCGCCTAAGGTATAGAACACTAGAAGACTAGAGTTGGAAAACCCACTTGGCCAGGGAAACTCACATGGGAAGTCATATTCTCTCTCTCTCTCTCTCTCTCTCTTTTTGAAGGTACAAATATTCAATTTATTTATGCAGTGTGACATTAGGATTGAATAGTAATAATACTGGGTCTGAACCCTCCGTCTTCCTAGAGGAATTGTACTTTTGTAAAACTCAAAGATAGCACAAAGAACCAAGGACTGGGGATGCCCCTTTATTGAGACACACCCAAGTTCTTCCCAAAGGCCCGTTACTTGAGAGGGATGAAGCGAGACGAGTGGGTGGCCCCAATTCCTGGCCGGCCGTGCTTCACTGGCTTGTAGGTGATGGAGAACTCCCCCAGGTAGTGGCCAATCATCTCAGACTTGATCTCCACCTGGTTGAAGGTCTTCCCATTGTAGATGCCCACCATGCTGCCCACCATCTCTGGGAGGACGATCATGTCTCGCAAGTGGGTCTTGACCACCTCAGGCTTCTCCATCGGCAGGGCCTCCTTCTTGGCCTTCTCCCGGTTCAGCCGTTGGCACTGGCAGGCTCTGTAGAGCTGCATTAGCTGTTCATAGGTGTTCTAGAACAGCTGTACCAGGAGCTCCAAATTTGTTTGCTTTGCATTGAATGTTTGTTTGTAGTCCTAAGTCTCAGGGACTCTGCAGATAGGTGGATTCTTTTGGCTGCAGTCATAGGGCAGGCCACCTGTCCGTCATCGTTAAGTTTTGGTCCTGCCCCTTGCTCAGGGCAATTGGGAAGGGAAGTGGGCCATTTTGTTAGTTAGTCTCAGCCAGGTTAGCTTATTTATAGGATGTGTGTAACTTCCCCTGTACAAAAGCTTCAACCTTTAAGAACTCCAGGGAAGCATTCCTACAGCTTTAAGAACTCCAGGGAAGCATTCCTACAGCTTTAAGAACTCCAGGGAAGCATTCCTACAGCTTTAATAATTTCCAGGAAAACAGCCTTAAAGACTAAAGAACTCCAGCTGGAGAATATCCACTGCCTTGCTGGTAGGTCCACTTGGTGTCCGAGAAGCAGTTCGGCCCAGTAGCGGAGCCCACATCAGTGAGGGTTGGATTTCAGTCAGCCTGGGAGAAGTTAAAAAGGGGAATTTTCCTTTAAAGAAAAAGTTATTGAAGATAGTGCCTGTCCCCTGTGGACAAGATTGAGAGAGCCAATAGTTTATCAAGAAAGCCTTGAAGTACCTGTTTGATTTCATTAATAAAATACTTTGTTGTACTTCTCAAGCCATCTGAAGGTTCTTTGTAGTGGAAACCTCTGAGAACTTCTCCTTAGGCCCCTGGCTTCCCGCTGGGCAAAGGTTACACATCCTGTTTTTAAAGCCAACCAAATACAGGCCCAGCGCGCGACAGAACAATAAGACATGTCGAGGAGCTGTTCCAGAGCAACGCCCCGGTACGTGAACTTCTGGAAGGTCTGCTTCTTCTTCTGCTTCACTTCTGCCATCTTGGCTTCAGTCTTCTCAGGGAAAAGTCATATTCTCTTAGGACTTTATCATATTAGCCAGTTGAAGCATCCCACTTTGCCACCAATATAAAGGGCAACTGGGGTGAATCTGTCACCCTATGTGCTGCTCCCTTGTAGCAACACTACTCTCATCACATGGAGGAAGAGTCACCCTAGAAGCCTCCCGTGTTGAGAAGAAAGCATTGTACAATTCTTGACCCTCTAGTTGGAGAAGGGGCCTCCACAGGAAGTTCCCTTATATCATGTGATAGGCGGTGGGCCCATCCATCCTCCAACTAGAGTGGAAGCATTGTAGGATGCTTCCAAAAGTAAAAGTGATGAGTTCATATGTCTCAGAAAAGGAAAAAGGCAAACCTTGTCCAAACAAATCCTGTCCAATTCTGGGCACCACAATTCAAGAAAGATATTGACAAGCTGGAGTGTGTCCAGAGGAGGGCGACTAAAATGATCAGGGGTCTGGAGAACAAGCCCTATGAGGAGCGGCTTAAGGAGCTGGGCATGTTTAGCCTGAAGAAGAGAAGGATGAGCGGAGATATGATAGCCATGTATAAATATGTGAGAGGAAGCCACAGGGAGGAGGGAGCAAGCTTGTTTTCTGCTTCCTGGAGACTAGGATGCGAAACAATGGCTTCAAACTACAAGAAAGGAGATTCCATCTGAACATGAGGAAGAACTTCCTGACTGTGAGAGCCGTTCAGCAGTGGAACTCTCTGCCCCGGAGTGTGGTGGAGGCTCCTTCTTTGGAAGCTTTTAAACAGAGGCTGGATGGCCATCTGTCAGGGTGATTTGAATGCAATATTCCTGCTTCTTGATAGAATGGGGTTGGATGGCCCATGAGGTCTCTTCTAACTCTTTGATTCTATGTCCAGAAACCACATGATATGTTTGCCTTATAATCACCATAAGTCAGAAATGACTTGAAGTACACAATGACAACAAATGAAATGGCAATGAATATTAGAAAGAAACAATGATACTTTGTCCCAACCAAAAGAAATTAACCTTGTAGTAATACACTAGGATTTCATGTTCACTTAAAAAAGTGTCAAAAACAATGTGAAGACACACAAAACAACATCAATAACCATTGAATTGGAAAGGTCAGTATACTCACACAGATATAAAGCGTTTGAGAGTTCCATATTTTTCTGTTGTTCCATATTTTTCTGCTGTCTTGTGCCTTCAACTCCAACTTATGGTGATCTTGATGAGTTTTCTTGGATCAATTTATGGTGACCCCACAGTAATCTGAACACAGATTTTCTTGATTTGTTCAGAGGCTTTAGAAGTGTGTGACTTGCCTAAGGTCACCCAGTGGGTTTCCATAGCTAAATGGGGATTTGAACCCTGGTCCCAGAGTCATAGTCCAATACTCAAACTAATACCCTAAGCTCTCTCTCCCCCCACACTTCTGATACAGCAGATGCTGAAGCAGTTCTAACCATAACTAAGTACCGTATATTCTGTCATATAAGACGACTGGGCGTATAAGACGGCCCCCAACTTTTCTAGTTAAAATATAGTTTGTGATATACTTGCCGTATAAGACTACCCCTCTTCCAACACACACCAAATAAAACAGGATTTTGGCCTGCATCAATAGGAGCATAGTGTCTAGGTCCAGGAAAGTAATGCTACCCCTCTATTCTGCCTTGGTTAGACCACACCTGGAATATTGTGTCCAATTCTGGGCACCACAATTCAAGAGAGATATTGACAAGCTGGAATGTGTCCAGAGGAGAGCGACTAAAATGATCAAGGGTCTGGAGAACAAGCCCTATGAGGAGCGGCTTAAGGATCTGGGCATGTTTAGCCTGAAGAAGAGAAGGCTGAGAGGATATGATAGCCATGTATAAATATGTGAGAGGAAGCCACAGGGAGGAGAGAGCAAGCTTGTTTTCTGCTTCCCTGGAGACTAGGATGCGGAACATTGGCTTCAAACTACAAGAAAAGAGATTCCATCTGAACATGAGGAAGAACTTCCTGACTGTGAGAGTTTCAGCAGTGGAACTGTCTGCCCTGGATTGTGGTGGAGGCTCATTCTTTGGAGGGTATTAAACAGAGGCTGGATGGCCATCTGTCAGGGGTGCTTTGAATGCAATTTTCCTGCTTCTTGACAAGATTGGATTGGATGGCCCATGAGGTCTCTTCCAACTCCATGATTCTATTTTTAAAAGCATCAGATTTGATTTCAATATGGTAATTTTCCTATTACTGTACCTCCTTCTCTGCCTCTCAGATCTCGCACCTGCGCACCTGCACCACTTCACTGCAGTCTTCAGGAGCGAGATCTGAGAGGCAGAGGAGGAGGTATGGTAATAGGATACAAGGGCGGGCCAGACAGGTAAAAGAGGTGTGTTTTTCTGGGCCCAGAGCCACTCTATCTCTTTTTTCCATACCCCGGGCCCGCCCTTCACTTACACCTTCCCGGTGAGGCACCCCTTCACCTCACCATCGGGACCGCATTAAGTCCACGAATCCTGATGAATGGATTTTCTTCTACCATACTTGTACAACGTCGCCCTTAATGCTTTCATACAGTCGCTGCATACGGCAGGATGCGGCCACTGCCATTTTTGAGCACCCCTTACCATATGGCAACCACAGATTCTCCAATCCGGATTGGAAGTTTCAGCACCCGCTCTATAAGACGACTCTTGGCGTATAAGACTATTCCCACATATAAGACAACTCCCTTGCATAAGGCTACTTCAGCGTATAAGACGACTCCCACATATAAGATGATCCCCGACTTTTGAGAAGATTTTCTTGGGTTAAAAAGTAGTCTTATACACCAGAATATATGGTAGCATCTTCTCCTGCACTAGAAGTCAAGATGGCCATAAAATATAGCTACTGTTTCATTGAGAGTAAGGGGTTAAACTAGTAATGAGCTCTACGGTGTCTGTCTGGATATGCTGATCATGTGTTTTGAAGACTTCCAGTGTGAATGCAAGCCATATGAATGTAAAATTGGCACATAAAGTTGTGATTGTCTCCAAAGCAGAGGAAGAATGTCAAGGCATGGAAAGTTTTGCTTGTATAAGTTTGGACATTACAAGTCAAGAACATGTATATTCCAAGCTCATTATTCTGAAACACCACCAGCCTCACTTCTCTTCGCTATGTAATATAACAATTAGCTTTGAATAATACAATGCCAGAACGTTGTCATGGTAGCTGCCTCTCTAATGCCACCCCCCAAAAACCTACCTCATAACCCAGGCAGTACTCCAATAAAAGGGCTTCTGAAGCATTGCAGATTAAAGACTTGCAGCATTGTTCAAGTCAGATGATGTATTGAGACAGTCAGCTGGAGAGATCACACTGTGTCCTGTCACAACTGCAGGCTTGCTATATAAACAAGCATATTCAGAGTCACTGTGAATTGAAGGCTGTCTGTCTTCATGACATCGGCAGAGGTATCCACACCATCAGTCACTCTTCCCTTCTTCTGCCTTGTCATGTAGCAGCCACAATGGCTAGGAGCTCTCACAGAGCTTTGTGCTGAGCTGTTCACTTGCTGACCGAAAGGTCACAGGTTTGAATCTGGGAAGCGGTGTGAGCTTCCACTGTTAGCCCCAGCTTCTGCCAACCTAGCAGTTCGCAAACATGCAAATGTGAGTACATCAATAGGTACCGCTCCAGTGGGAAGGTAACAGTGCTCCATGCAGTCATGCTGGCCACATGACCTTGGAGGTGTCTAGGGATAACGCCATCAATTCCATCGTTGATGGAGTTCAGAATGCTCCTTGATTGTAGGTGAACTATAAATCCCAGCAACTACAACTCCCAAATGACAAAATCATAATTGTTGAGTGATGGTCACTCCTTGTGTTGTGAGATGTTTTGTTGTCAAATTTGGTGTGATTCCACACACACACACATACATACACATACTAGCTGTCCCTTTCACGCGTTGCTGTGGCCCAGTATGTTGATCTGGAAAATAAAGTAATGAGAAAGTGTTGGTTTCTAATGAGCAGTACATTTTTATTGATCTGGATGGTCAGTTGTAGGCCTGAAAGGTGTATCCTACCCAAAAGAAAGTAAGAAATACCACTGTCTATATAATGCAGTCTCAGTATATAACAGTATAAGTGTTAAATATGTATGTGTGTGTATATGTCTTAGACTGTGGTGATTTGGGAAATGAAGTAATGAGAAAGTGCTGGGTTTTGAATGTATGGTGTTTATTGATGCTTGTGGGTAAGCAGTATTTCTTGCTGCTTCTTTGCCTGGTTTGGCCACCCTGGAACATGAAACATATCATTGTCCTTCTTGAAGGGTCCCTTAGAAATGTGTGATACTATATCTGTGTGTGTGAGAGTCATATCTTTTTATCTATCTATCTATGTATGTATACATCTATCCATATCTATGGCTGGATGGCTGTTTGTCCGGAGGAGTGTGATTGCGTGTTGTTGCCCTGGTGAAGGGAGTTGTTCTCGATGGGGTAAAGTTTGTTATGTTAGTCATGAGGGTTCTGTGTGGGAAGTTTGCCCCCATTCTGTCATTTGTGGGATTCAGAATGCTCTTTGATTATTGGTGAGGAGTGAATCCCAGTGACTCCAACTCCCAAATGTTAAGGTATATTTTCCCCATAGTCCATTGGTTTTCATAGAAGTGCGATGTTTGCTCCAGATCCATCATTGTTCGAGTGGACAGTATTCTGTGGATGTAGGTGAACTACAATTCCCAAAGTCAAGGTCAATGTCGACGAAACCATTCCAGTATTATGTGTTGGTCATGGGAGTTAAGTGTGGGAAGTATGGTTCAATTCCGTTCATGGCAGAAAGGAGTAGTAAATTGGTATTGATGTGAAAAACCGGGCAGGATCACCAGTTGGGAGAGACCCACCTCCCCCCGGGCTTGTTTGGAGGCGGCGGAAGGCAAGAGGGGCGGCGGGGCGTGGCAGAAATCGAGGCACCGGCTTATGTGAAGACGGCGGGCCTCCTGTCTCGGTTTGTTTTGGTTCCCCTCGGCGGCCCCCTGCATCT